TCCTCTCAATCAATAATATAAAAATTAATAATTCCAATTATTTCCCACCCTATCTCTGAAAACTCGCATTGTTCTTAATCTTGAGGAATTTGTTACTTTTACCGTACTTATTAAAAAAAACAATTTTAAACATTTTTAAATATATCGACAAAAATATAATAATCTTAAGATATTCACTATTTATCCTAAAGTGAATTAAGTGTAAATTATTTTGAAAATAGATGAGTTGTCCTTCAAAGACAGGATTTACCTTAGATTTGAAATTATTTTGAAGTGGTAACTTTTTCTTTTGCATAAAAATCCTTCAAATTCTTCTGATTAAGTTTCTTTCTGTGTGTATTAAAACCAGTTTAAAATTACGTAAGAATGAGGCAGAGGGTGTGTTTTGTAATTTTACAAATTTTTAAAGTTTGTTGCGATATTTCAGTATATCCATGATTTCTGATGGTGTTGTTCTAAAAAATGTTTCTACTTGATATAATTTACAGCACACTCTCACATCATTATTTGTTGACCCACATATGAGAATTTTATTTCTTTTCTATATTTTTTTTAATTTGAAATGGCCACCTCTTTTTAAATTACTAAATTTATAGAATCTTTCTAAGAGAAAACATTACTTTTTAATGAAATTTTATTGAACTTTTAGATGACAATCCAAATCAGAAGTTAGTAGCTTAAAAAATGTTGTGACTTGAAATTACAGAAACGCCCCGGGGGTAGAATTGGGGCCTGAGTTGGAGAAATTTACAGAATGAGCCACAAGGGGAAATAAGTGCAAAAGGGTGGGCTTTAAATGCTTGTCCCCAACAACAAGAGGAGGGGCGTTTGTGGTCTCATTTATGCGATTTGTACTCCCCGGCACGTGACCCATGTGACTGTCATTATGTGGGCCATCAGATCTCCGCCGATCTAATTTAATGTGCCTCATCATACCAATTATAGCCGTTGGATGAAGTATAACTCTCATAACCTTTTCTGGTCACGAAGCTCTGATCTTTTGATTGATAATATATGTCTTACCTAATAAGCTATATTCGGATTGGTTGGGATAAGTTTTATATTATATCTTTAGTATTGTATACGTTATTTTTTTTTCCTTATACAACGACATGTAGGGATAAAGATTCGAATTCGTAACTTATTAATCAGAAATATGTATTTTTAACTAATTGAGCTAAGTTCACATTGACGTATAAGTTGTCGCATTCCATAATAATACATCAATGAGCATAACTCTCTCTATGTAGTCAATCTAATCAAACATTAGTGGCTAAGAAAATGTTGCCCTTCCCTCAAGTTGAAAGTAGGCCAAATTCCACATTTTTTTTAAACTTAAAAGAAAAAAGACTTTATATAACTTGATTAATTAATCCAAATATTAGCAAAACGATATATTTTTTATCAGTGGTAAATTTGAATTATCATCTTTAGTTTAAATCGTGATGCGTATATTAAAAAAATTATGCACCAATAATATTTAGTTGTGTTTATAACAAAGAAAAAGAAAAGAAAATAAACTAACGAAAATTTGAATCCATTTTAAAACCCGATTCCTTTTGCATAATTGTAATACCCTAAAAAGGGTGTGCATCAATAATCAATAAATAATTTAAATGCTATTAAAACAAAAACTTAACAAAAAACTTAGTTTGGAAACTGACTCCTTATCTTCTACATTTGACTTCAATTACTTGGCTACGTAGATATTACTCAACATATAAATAAATAAAATACACATAAAAAGTTGATTTGGACACTCACAAATTTAAAACGAAAAAAGAAAAAGAAAACAAAAAAGATGGTGTTTCTAGTATAAATTAAAAACAACATGTTATGCAAATTTAATGAACAATTAATATAAAATGATGACATGTATATAGCTAAATGGTTGATGTATCTCTAATTCTTTAAGAAGTCGTAGATTTTCGAATTTTCCTGCCTTTACAAACTTTCATCCATGACCTTTTTTGTTTTATATCATATTAAATTAACACCTAAYTTAAAATTTTAAGATCTTTTTTATTAGTTCAGTATATATTTAACTTTTTTTGAATACATTAATTTAATAAGATTAGAGTGGAGATTTGAACTTTTAACTTTCCTTCCTAATATATTTTTTAAATATATTTTTTAATTAGTTGAGTTAAATTAAATCCTATATTCCCCACACGCGCTGTACTAAACCGTATAGAAGAATTTATGTTAGAACTATAATAAGACCACATCAAACCTTTGAAAAAAAAAACTGTATGAAAGGATCACATTTTCCCATTAAAATATCATAACGTACGGTTTTAAAATGGAATTAGGAGATGAGGAGAGGACACGAGTAGTTCACGTGATGTGCGGATTAACGAAGAGGTGCAAGTAACGTAAATATGAGCAATTAGGAGGGTAATTTGCGTCAACGGTAGTCATTCATTTTATCAGTTGCCATTAATTAATTAAAAAATTAATAAATAAATATTATTGTTTGTTGTTACTTTTTACTCGGAAGCATAACCCTTTTTGCTTGGCCAAGTAGTGCACGTGTGCAGATCCACTTGCTTTTCTTTTATGGGTTTTCGGTCTCAAAAAATAAAAGAATAATAATAATAATAATAGAAAAAAGTGTCTTCTCTCTCTCTCTCTCTCTCTCTAGATTAAGCTTGCACGAATGGTTCTCTTCTGTTACACCCATTATATTATCCTATTGCTTTCTCCGATTACGATATCTCAACCTCTTTCTTGCCCTCATTTACTCTCTCTCTCTAGAAAAAAGTGCTTTTTCTAATGCTTTTTTTTTTGTTGACACCTAACTTTTTAACACTTGAGATGCAAATCTTACCTTTTTCTTTTTTTTCCCCTCTACTTCACTTTTTTTAACCTTTATTTTTGTGTTTGCTTATTCTTGACATTTATTTTATTAAATTTTGGGGTATTTTTAAACTTTAGTGCCTTGTACCTAGTCATTTTCTAGCCTTTCCTTTAGCAATATTAGATTCATGATAGGTAGCGCCTATTTTTATCATTTAGATGAATATTTCGGATTACAACACTTTAAACATACTTGATTCGACTTATGATTCATTCTTAGAGTCCGATCTATCAATCTGATTAATCTTAAGTTAGTGGTTAAATGTTAGAACAATTGTTCAATTACCACGACTATTGAATTAATGTTGATATTTACGGATCGTGCAAAGTGATCGAATAATGATTATTATCTTTGAACGTCTATAAAAATTAGAGTTTGCTTCTTATGCAAGTACTTGAAGTTGATTACTTGTCATGATACATACCGGTTGAATTTAAGATTGACTAGCTCGTCCAAATGCTTAAGATTCTAGCTTAAACAGAGGGCAAAGATTAAATTTTGATTCTGATTTGAAAGTTAATTCCCGTAAAATTAAGAGTATAACATGAAGGGTAGTTTCATGTATTTCCTTGAAATAATTTGAAAGATATATAATTACTTGAGATAAGCATGGATTTATTTTATCAACAGTCTTTTTTTTTTTTAATTAACCGTCTCTTTCTTGAAAGTAATATTTCAAGTAGAGTAATTCTTAAGATATATATTATATAATAAAATGCTAACAATAATCCATCACATCATAACAAAAAAGACGACAATTTGAATAGACTAGTTACTTAGAAAATTAATATATTGAAAAACAAAACAAAGAATGTACTAAGAATAACAATAACGATAGAGACAAACGGTGTAAAGAATAATTGACCGATTTGTTTTATAAAAAAATAATAAATACGGTTTATATCCAACACAATGTCAATGAGCTTAATTTTGTAAAGAAAAAAAAAGCATTTTAAAGTTATATCATTAATTATTTATGTAAAAATACATGACAAATAGTATCAAAATTAGAATACATATAAGGTATATTAAATTCTTATGAGATATATCTAAGGAAATTACGGTTTTGTACTTGTGTCTTAAAAACTAAATTTAAACTTGGTTGATCGCACCCAAAATAATTCATAAAATCATAATATTAAAACAAATAATAAGATAAATTAAGAGGAGATAATTTTACCAAAAACAAATATTTAAAATTGTTTTGAGAAAAAAAAGGTATTCCCATTTATTTTCCGAAATGGATTTGTCCATAAAGTTGAAAAAGATGATCACATATCTGCAAAAGTAGAGAATTATTAATTAATGGCTTCCTTTACCAAGGTCCACACGTGTGGCAAGTAAAAAGAATAATAATAAAAAAAAGGGGAGCTGAATGAAATGAAACCCCAGAAAAAGTAGCCTTTTTATTTTTTTTATTATTTATTTTTTTACCAGGCCAATTCATCTCCAGTGGGGCCCACAAAGAGTGTGGAACTGACCCCTCTTATGGGGTGGCTTAGTGTAGTTTTGGGCCCACATTGCAAAAGCTAAACCAGCATACCACATGTTTGAGTTATCATCTAGCTGGTGCCTCACCTATAATATTTAAAAGTGACATATAACATTTATTTATTTTTATATATATACATATTTAATTTATTAATAAATTTAATAAGTTCGGGTTTAACCAAATCGACCTACAAGATTAGTGTTTGGTACCAAAAAAGAAGTAATAGAAACTTGTTTGTAAAATCTATGTATAAGAATGTAGTGCTAAAACGAACATAGTTTAACGATAATTGATACATATCTTCAACTAAGAGGTTATGAGTTTGATCCTCCACTCACACATGTTGTACTAATAAAAAAATTAGAATGTAGTATATATGTGCGCCATTAAATCTTTAGCTTTTAATTTAAATAAATTAAAATTTTATAATATTGGAATAAAAAAGTTAAATACTATATTCATTAAAAAATAACAAGGGAGAGAGGAATATTAATATCTAACTTTTTTAATACAACTCCTGGGAAGATGAGTGATTAAATGTCGAAAATGAGCAAAATGCTTGAGTTAGACTTTGTGGGAACTAATATCTACCAATTGAGCTATACTTATTACTTAAAGCAAAAATTCAATACTCTAGTTTTATACACCAAAGTTAACATTATCCACTCAAAAATTTGTATAAATACTTTCTTTTTCTTTCAAATTTATCATCGCTCTCGTTTCAATTAATTTAAACATAATCGTTCTTTTAAAGGGTTGAAAAAGGTCATAAAGATAACAAATAAAATTACATCGCATTCTAGAGCTAAAAAGTGCCAAAAAAAGGTCAAATAATATTTTGAGCAGGAAGACAATGTAAATTAACCCAAAATCATTTGTAGATGAACACACATAGATGCATGTATAAGGCTGCATTTTCAGCTACAAACAATGGTTTGGTTTAGTGTCTTCCTTTATAGATACAATTATTTATTTTTTGATGCAATTATTTGTTTTTAACCCATTCTTTTGTCTTCCTTAAATTGTCTTCTTCTCCTTTGTATAAATAGTCAATTCAATCATTTCTCCAATCAATATCTATTCCTTCTTATAATTTATATATACTCTTCCTTCAAATATACATCAAACATTTGAAATTATTGAGTTACTTAAAATAAATTTGTAACCACACAAATGACACACTTCTGATTACTCCTAAAATATTCATATGTAAAATATTTAGCACATACAAAAATAGGACTAAAATTTTGATATTTCCATGTATGTAATTATAAGTATGAAATGTCTCCTATGTGTTGATGTGCAATTCTAATTTGCATATGTAATATGACGTGGATTCTAACATGGGATTAGTTGGCAACTTGCAAACAAAATCTTGTGCCCATATAGTGTTCGGCCATGTACACTTCAAAACTTAAGTTAGTACTTAATTCAAGCTAGTATTGAGAGTCGACCATTAATTTTAATGCAAAGAGATTGCATACCTTTGAGAATATGAGAATTCACCTTTTTATAGGAGTATTGAAAAGTGTGGCTCTGCAATTACATAACTTATCGGTCAGTTGATGTTTCATCTATAGTCAGAAGATCTTTTGCTAGCGAAATTGACATTTAGCTAATTGTCAACAGATTTCCTATCGGTCAGAATCTTCTAAAAGTATGACTTAACGATCATGCTTTCTCGTCCTCAACATATTCGAGTTGAGGCACGATTTGTATAATTAGTCTCTTTGAATAATTTTGAAATGTATACAATAAAATATTTATAAACCATTGATATTCTCGCAAGGTAGAGGGGAATAATTATAAAAAATGCGTACCTTGAATATAGGAGTTGGGAAGGTGGGGCAACATTGGCAGCCCATGTGAAGCATTTAATTTAGACTATAGTTTTCATATATATATATATATATATATATTAGATAATTTTTTAATGTGGTTTGTCACAATTAACATTTGATATGCTTGTGGACAAACACAAACACTATATCCCCAACTAGCATTCTTGATTTTGACTTTGAACTCCTAAGTTTTGGAGAAAAATAATATAATAAATATTATTATTATTGAATTGTTCATTTTGTACCTGAATTGGGCCTAGCTGCCGTTATAATATCTGAAAGGGCAAATTGGGCCCCATCTTAGCCCAATAGACCGGTCCACTTACGGGGTTGTTGGATGGCGTGGATTTTAATTTACAAATATTTTACAAAAAAAAAAAGTCATATTTTAAAATAATTGGATTAATAAATCTTTACATAATATCAATATGTTTAAAGATAAAAGTGAGATTTCCAATCTCTGATATGCGTTTTATTTTGACATATTTTAATTACTTTTTTGAGTTATTATTTTTAATTAGACTTTTATCGTGTTATATTTTGTAATTTACTTTTTTTTACAAAGAAATAATGTAAAACCACTGAATAGTAGTACACTTCAAAACTGTTTCGCGTCAATTTCCAAAAATAGAGAAAAGACAACTGTCATGCGTCCTCAACTTTAAAACGGTTGGGCCAAAGGCCCAATCCATTATATAAAACAATAATTTATTGAGAGAAATTGCTTTTTTAAAATCCAAATTAATATTAACTCTATACTTTTAGGTCTGCTTAATTAAATCTTAAACTTAATAAATAATAGATGAAATTGAAAAAAATTAAAAAATGTTGAATGGCCTTTTACAAAAAAAAAAAAAAAAGAAAGAATGGTTATATAAGCATCGTCAAAGTAAGTCCACTCGAATAAATTTCAACATCCCACTCTTGCTTCTCAACTCTCATTTTAATGGGAGAGTGCATACTTTTTTATCATACCAGCACTATCAAGCAAGCCCACCACAACTCCATAAACTATATAAAAAAAAAAAAAATTTCATTTTTATTTTTAATTTGACGAAGAAGCTTCAAATTTCAACTTTTTACATTTCCCATTTTTGTGAAACCACATTCCAAGGGAAAGAGCCATCGTTCAACGGATAAAAATTACTCTAAAGATAATAGGTTGGAATAAAGGGAACCATTCAAGATAAGTGTCAATCAGCTTAATTTTTCATTAATCACTCTGTTAGTTAACAAACGGGGGTGCGAAAATCCAAACTCATAAACTCTGGGAGAGAGACAATTACTGCTGAGTTTATTAGCTTCTCTTGGGTCAAGTAGTGATGCTAAGGAAAATAGTGACATTTTATATTCAATTCTGTCTGTATTAGTGTAAGCAACATGGGGTAGTATCTATAAACAAAACTCAAGGCCATGCTGACTCGGGAGGGAGTGGAGCTCTGTCCAAATTAGCGACTCTCTGTTTGCTGGGTCTCCCCCGGTTCATGGTCGTTCTCATGGCGTCAAAAGTTTCAGTTACCACATTCCCATTTTCTCCATCTCCCTCATCTGCTTGCTCTAGAGTTGCAGCTTCCACTTCATCTTCCTCGCCCATCTTATTTCCAAAAACCCCCAAAATTCGTCTCTCCTTGTGTAATTTCCCATTGGGTCTCGGGCTTTTCTCTCCATGGACTGGTTTAAAGCATCTGGGTATCTCAACCAGAGCAAAGTTTCTCGGTATATATATAATTTCTGATGATCTCAGTTTTGTACGATTGATTCAATTTGTGTTTCAAATTTGTTTGAATTGAGTTTTTTATTGATCTTTTTTCTTTTATGTTCTCTAAAATGGCGTTGTTGCAGAGAGGAGGAGGAGAATTCCTAAGGGGAAGGCAGTTTTTGCATCTCTGTTTGGGGTTGGAGCTCCCGAGGCGTTGGTTATTGGAGTAGTGGCTCTGTTAGTTTTTGGTCCAAAGGGTCTAGCTGAGGTGAGTTATATAGAGCATGTAGATGACATAAAATTTTGTGATACTTGGCTTCCGTAGATGTGTTTCTCTTGTTTTTACATTTTAGCTTGTGCTAAATCTGAAAATTTAAGTGTTCTGCCCATATTTGCCTGGATAAAAATCGTCAAGAACCTTGTTGTTTCTATTGTTAAATGAATTCTTAATAATGGCAAAAGGTGCCCCATTATTCCAAGGGTAGAATTTTTTTCAGCAATTGTATTTTATCTGACATCTAATGGGACTTTTCGATTTTGAAGTTGTTGCTGTTGTTCAAAGTTTGAGACAGCAGCATTATAACATCAGTTATTTTAGTTATTTACTGTCTTGAGCCATTGTGAGTGGAATAAGTTGGTCGTATCTTGTCGATGTCAAGAAAGGTAGCTCCTAATTTTATTGAAAGTGTGTTAGGGGAAGGACTAAATTACGGTGTAAATAATGGGATGTATTAGGTGGGGCTTTTCTAACCCAGTTAGTTAGTAACTGAAAGAGGCGCCTGTATAAAGAAGTATATAGGAATCCTAATGAAAGAAGGGGGGTTTACGCTTATCTTTTGGTAAGTTTGGAGTTATGGAAGAATAAGGAACTCTTAAATTTTCCTTTGCGTTGTATCTAAAAGGATTCTCTCAGTTATATCTTATATTGTGTTGTATTTGAAGTGCTGAGAAGCAAGATGACTAGCATTTTTCCTTTTGTGGCTGGCGAGTGTTATGTAAAGAGGCAAGTATGGCAAAAAATCTAGAGATTGGACGATAAATTATTGCAAAGTTTATGTTTTCAGTTTATTCATAGCTTAGACACAGAGGGCGGGGCTGGCATGGAGATCTACATCATGAAGTGCGTGTGGGTGAAGCATAAGGGACTGCTTGACCTTGTTTATGCAGTAAGAAGCTTGGGAATTTAGAATATGGTTATTACGAAATTTTGGTTGAGTTAGTTGCAAGGTCCATGGGGAAATGCTGATAGTGAACTCTTTTCTATTTCTCCATATTTCTTTCATTGTGCTTCTGGAATTGAATAATCCTAAGTTTATAAAGTGGCAATCAAACCATTTAAAGTTGTACAGTCAATGCTAGAACATTTGATATACTTCAAAACTTACAAGAACACTGCCCCATTACCAGTGATACTTGATATGATTTTAAACACCTTGGTTATTGGAATGGAGAATTTGTTTGTTTCTTCCTCGAGGGTCTTGTTCAAGTGGAATTATATAACCAAAAAGGGAAGGCATAGGCTGCCTCATAGGTGTTACTCGTGGTGCACGTTCGTTTTGATAAACCTCAATATTAGTGGTTCTCTTTGAGTATTGACCCATAAGGGGTGCTGTTTCCTTGAAGCTGTGAAGGATAAGCTCGTAGATGCTTATTGATAGGTGGCTTGCAGAAACCTAATAACAGCTTCAAATTTTCTGGATCAGACAATATGAAGTTAGGAAATTGATATGTTAATCTTATTTAGCATCCATTGTTGCAAATGGAGATGGGAGTCATGGAGATTCCCAAAATTGCTCAAATGAATGCATGTTGTAAGAGATTAGAAGCTAGTGATTTTTGTTGATATCCTAGTTTCAAGAGGTCAAAGATTTTAATTGTTTTTCACCTCAATGCTTGAACCAGAACTGTGAGGAACTTCCCATACATCCGAAGCCGTTACCACTCGGTCTACCCCATATTTGAGAATGTGGAACTTTGCTCAATGCCAACACGGATTATGGGTGAAAGGCTATTTGTAAATCATCTTTCTTTGGTGTTTTCTACTTCTGGATATTAGTAATCCCAAGCTTTGACCTGTTTCTGTGTTACAAAAACTCTTACCGTAGGTTGAGTTACCTACGATATTCATAACTTGGGATGGACAATGCTACGAAGTTTAGGCTTGGTAGAACAGAGATTTTTATCTATCTAGTAGGATGTGTTCTAAGATAAAGTTGATAACCTGAAAACACATTAGGAACAAGTTCTGTTTTTGTGCTTGTTGAAGAAAAGTTCATTACTGTTTTGTCAAACTCTTGGGAAGATCTGCAATACATATATCAACAAGTATTTTTTCTGGACTGAAATTTAGTTGCTGTAACTTATTTATACGAAGGTTGCTCGGAATCTGGGGAAGACCTTACGTGCATTTCAACCTACTATAAGAGAACTTCAGGTAGTTATATTTCGGTTTTTGAAAATTTCCACTTGCAACTTCTCGGAAACCCTCTAATTGTTTTTGTCTGTAGGACGTTTCTAGAGAATTCAAAACCACACTTGAGCGCGAAATTGGCCTCGATGAAATTTCAAATTCGGTTGATGGCTCATACAATTCAAGCAGATCCAGTACCTACTCAAACCCGCCTTCTGTTCCTAAAGCAGAAGATCCTGTTGCAGTAGCTGAACCCAGTGAGTGGTTAAGTTATTCATTCTCCATGTTCTTATTTGTTATCGGTACTCTTATTTTTAAGGAAAGATTTCAAAGGTACAGTAGAATACTAAACGCTTTGAAAACTTAAAACAAAAATGCAAAATTGTTGTCAAACAGAACCTTAATAATTTGAAGAGATCAATGCTTTTAATTTGGTCGATGTCAAGGGAATGGATGAGAAGATTTTAGTTGCAATATTATCAAAGGGCAGTTATATTCAACAGGTTACAATTTTAGTAAAATAAGAAAGGAAAATTATGGAACATCTTCCCGATACTCGATATGATATGTGTTCTATTTCATCATCTGTTGTCTCGATTATGATATGAATTCCATATTTATATAACAGCAGACGGTTCTCCATCAGAAAGCAAAGCATATACCTCTGAAGAGTACCTAAAGGTTACAGAGGAGCAGCTGAAAGCTCAAGAGCAGGTCCAAACCAATCTTGCAGCAGAAAGCCAGAGTGGATCTCAAGTAGAGGCTCAAGGTTGCTAAAACCAAATCACTTCCTCTCTCTCTCTCTCAATCTATCCCTCTCACATATATGAATTTGTGACAGGAGTGGCTGAAGAACCTGCCACGGCAGCGACTGGACCCCGGAATCTTGGAACAGGTGAGTCTGAAGAATCTGCTACCTCAGCTTCGGGTCCTCAGAGTCCTGGAACTGAGGCGTAAAGTTATTAGAATCGATTTTTTTGATCGACGGGTCTTTGTTATTTCAATCAACAGATTTGCTGTGATACAACATGTTCTTTAGGTGGCTGATGTAGAAAATCTGTTTTAGTGTGTGAACCTCAAGTGAGAGAATGATTTTATCAGTGTCTTGGAACTTAATCAGTTCTAGACATTGGATAAGATGATTTTGTTGATTAGTAATCAGAATTCCCTCATGATTTCACATAATCACTCCTCCAAATTTTAATTATTTTATACCATGTATAACGTTGATTTGTTAATCCAAACATAGTTCGATAGTTAAGGTATATTTACCTCTTTTAAGAAGTCAAAAGTTTGAATTTGCACGTGTATTTTGGAGGTAACGTTACAATAAAAATGAGAAAGGAAAGGAAAGATGTTTAATGGATCTCTGGAAGACCTTAATGAGTCTGCTAGCACTCAAATTTCTTACTTGTTTTTTTATTTTTCTTTTCAAATTCATCTGAAGATCAAACTATGGACTTTTGTCATTTTATCTTTTATATTTGATATTGTCATGCTTTTGTCCCTTTTGTCTCGGGGCAAATAAAAAAATTATTCAAACATATTTTCAATTTTATTTAAAAAACAGCTCTAATAAAATCCAAAAATCCCCTAACAAAATATCCCATAATTAAAACTATCCATAGATATTAGAAAGTAAAGCAGCAAAAAAGAGAGAGAAAAAAAAAGCATAATTTGTTTAATTTCATCCCCACGATGATGATGAACCACCACTTGGTATGGCTTGGCTACCTTAGGCGTTACCCCAGTTGAAAAAGCAATTTCACCAACAAGAAAGAGAAACCCAGCATTTTTACCACAGTAATTTTTCCTTTGTACTTGGAAACCCTAAGCCCTCATATCTCCTCCATAAGAAACTCGTTGTCGATCTCGAGCCTGGCCATGGCTTCTTTCTCCAAGCTTATCTCCACATCAAT